AGAGAGAGAGAGAGAGAGAGAGAGAGAGAGAGAGAGAGAAAAGAGGTAGAGCGCGCTAGAGAGAGGAGATGAAGGGGGAGGGAGGGAAGAGAGTCAATTTTGATCAGAGCTTACTTTGCAGCAAATGAAAACTTGAACTGTATAGAAATGTATGAAAACATTCTTTATCCTTCCTCCGTGGGCTCTCTTTCTCTCTCCCCCCTCTCTCTCTCTCTCTCTCTCTCTTCTCTCTCTCCTCCTCTCTCTCTCTCTTCTCTCTCTTCTCGCTCCTCCCCCCTCCTTCTCTCATGATCCTCTACATTCTACAACATACCGATTCCGACATTCCATTTCATCGATTACGTATGATGTGAGTAAATTGTTACTTGCGCTCGCTTGCACACGGGCGGATATATTAGGAGAGCGATGTTTTGCAGAAGCGTCAATAGAGAGCAAAATCTCGAGCTTTCTGGCGATATTAGTAAATGTGTTCATCGGAGGATCGCTCATCGGAGGGATTAGCCATAGCGTCGTGAGGCTGAGAGTGACAAAAACCTTGCACAAATTAATTGCGTTCGTATACATCCGACCGTTGAATGCCTGTAATATATATATAGTAATATGTGTATATATATAATATATATAATATATTTAATACAGCGAGGTATGAATGACAAAGACGTATTTGTCATCATCAGGAGCGATATTTGTCATGAATACGCTCCGAATATATGTGTATGCATAGCCGCATCGTGTAATATCATAACTCTTCTCTGCAGTGACCGTTCGGAGTAATGTTTGCTATTTCGTGATAATTTAATGCGTTGATGTGTCGGCATGCAGTCGAAGTCACGGCGCGTGCTTGGCGTTCGCAGCGCGGGTATGGTCTCTCCTTAATTTTTGTCTCTCATGGCATAGAGGGCATAGAGCCTAGTTTTCTCTTAACAGGAATCACGTAGGGTAGCGAGGGTTTGAGCCATAGTCAACCCCATTGTGTAGCGGTGGATTTCTGAATTCTACGCAGTATCAACGAAAGCTAATCATGAATAACGTGCCTTCAAGGCACAGCTCAACGACCAAAGCGGAACTCGAACCCCAGATCGCTTAAGCCTAGCGCAAGACTTGCGACTTTGGTTGCTCGTCGCTGCAACCTGCAACCGGCATGCGATCGGTCGCACGCATCATCGTGGTGCGCATGGCAAGTCGCTGATCTAGCCCGCACACATGCGATTTCGGAGCGATTGGGAGCGACGAGTTGCTGAAAATAAAACCAGTTTGATTTCTTGCAATACGTTGAATAAGCGCGAGGAACGGAGACGATAGCGATTTCACAGCAATTTCGACTCGCGATTCTAGAATCTGAGCTGATTGCAATGAAAAAAAGTCGCACCCAGCTTTGGGCAATCAGTAATGTGGTTTGCTTTTATCGTGTGCAGGTGGTTGAGGTCGACTGCTAACCGCATCCCTCCTGGTTATTGCCACGCTGACCCCCGCCGTGCCATGGCGCTCGAGCCTCTTCAAGGAAGGCTTCCACTTCCTCGGCCTTGGTGACCGCGACAAGCTTGCATCCGCACACCACTAGATGGCGAAATCATCTACAGCAAGAAACAGACGTGTGCTGCATCCCCGAGCACGGGCGGAGGCTGCGTCGAGCATCACCCCGGTTACCTGTCCATCCGCATGCCAAGGAGTCGAGGTAACTACCAAGTGAAGCATCAATGTCAGGCCTCTCACTCCCCCACTCCACCTCACTCCACCCACTCCCACCCTCACTTCCACCCTCACTCCGCACCCACTCTCATCTCACTCCACCCTCACTCTCATCCCCACTCACCCTGCGAACTTCCCACCGCTCGACCTCATCCCCAATCCCACCTACACTCCACAGACCAGGGTGTATCTGGTGTATCTGGTGTATCTGGTGTATCTGGTGTATCCGGTGTATCTGGTGTATCACTATCACGTAACTTTGCTGCTCTGCGCTCACGGTATCGCGTCACTGCTAATTGCCACTCCGCGAATAGCTCGATCTGCATGGTTTTCGCTATAATGTAGATGGCAAGGCAGGGGAAATGAAGCCAGCGTAATTGGCATGGGAGGTAGGTGACCGAAATGTAGATCGTTTTCAGAACAGCGTTTCTGCGTGCGTGTGCGTGTGCGTGTGCGTGTGTTCGTGTGACTGGGTATGTGAGGGTGTGTGACAGTGTGTGAGTGCATGCGTGTGCCTGCATGAATTTGTGTGCGCGCGTGTGTACGTGCGTGCGTGCGTGCGTGGGTGGGTGCATGTGTGATGGCGTGGGTCTGGCTGGGTGCGTTTGCGTTTGTGAGTGTGTTTGTGAGTGCATGCGTGCGTGTATGCGTGCGTGTATGCGCGTGTGGGTGAGCGCGTGCGTGCGAACGTCTAATCGACTTGTATCCACCCAGACGACCCCCAGTGCTTGTTAACGAATCGTTTATAGCGAGAGATGTAGGATTTCCTTTACCGCGTACGCGTAATGACTTCGCATAGAGTAGAGCTATTTGAGGATTGCTTCCTTTATCGGCTGCCACGTGCTTCGGCCCCGATTAGATTCGGCTGGTGCGCATCTCTGTGGAATCTACGGCGATATTCCGTCGAGTGCTCTGTTAGAGTTAGAAATGCAATCAACGCGGCCGCTCGCTGCAATGAAGCGCTCGTCACGTTAGAGCGATCAACTGCAGCGTGTACGTACTCTCCTGTAAATCCTGCGTGCGTGCGTGCGTGCGTGCGTGCGTGCGTGTGGGGGCGTATATGTGTTTGTATGTGTGTGTGGATTCCACCCTCACTCCCACCCTCACTCTCATCCCCACTCCCACCCTCACTCCCACCCTCACTCCCACCCTCACTCTCATCCTCACTCTCATCTCCACTCCCACCCTCACTCCCACTCCCACCCTCACCCTCTCCCCCACTGCCACCCTGACCCGCGCCCCCACTCCCTGCATGCTTGACACAGACACAGGCCATGTCAAGCATCACCACAGATAGATAAATGCGTGTGTACATGCACGTGTTCCTGCGTGTATGTGTGGATAAACGCGCGTGCGCGTGTCTGTGTGCGTGCGTGTGCGCATGTGTGCGTTCGACGTGAGCATGTTTATATGTGTGTGGGGCATGCGTGTGCGTGTGTATGTATGTGTGGTGTGTGTGGGTGCGTGCGTGAGCGTGCGTGCGCGTGCGTCCGTGCGTGCACGTGTGTTTGTGTGCGTGCGTGCATGTGTTCCTGCGTGCGCGTGTGTGTGCGTGCCTGCGTGTATTATTATGTTCCCGAGTGCGCGCGCCCGCGTGTATATGTATGAGCCGTAAGCACGTGTTCCCGCCGTGCATGTATTGGCAGTCGCGTTGCCAGAGGTGGACGACAGCAATCTGTCATGACATGAGTAGTGCATCGATCCGGTGGTTAATCTCAGTAGCAATTAGTGCAAGCTGCCGCCCGCAGCCTCGCTCACACACACGCACGCACACGCACCAGAGCACGCACACGCGCACACACGCACGCACGCACGCACACACACACACACACGCGCACACACACAGGCTGTGGGGCTGGCTGATCAGCATGGTTACATACCAAACACTTTGTCATCGTGATGCATTCGCACGTTACAGCGGGCAAGCGGCACGCAATGCTGATTGACACTAAGTGTGTATATATCAAGAGTACATAATAGAGATTATGTACTCCTGGTATATATGTATGCAAAAGTGACATAAAGTGCTGATTCGAAACGTTCCCGTTGGCGTACTGTGCCCTTATTAAGCTCGCAGCAACACGAGACAGTCTAGAATCGATATTTATACACTGGATTCGACCAGTGAATATAAATGTACAATTCTTTTTTGTTAGTCGGCCGTAAATTTGACGGGTCTTTCAGTTGAGCAATATTATGTCATTGTAGTTTGGACGTCATATACGAAATATTAGCATGTGTCCACTCCGTGATGTGTCCACATTGTGTCATTCACGTTAAATATCCCGGTTAGTATGTATAAGTTATAACGTTAAACGTTAACGCGTAGGTGATTGTGGTTTCTCTAGGAGACACCAAATCCCACTATTATTGACCAGTATTGGTTATTCGTGTAGAAAAAAAACCCCACAAGGAGTGCGTCACACACTCGCGTTGTTTTCGCCGCACAATGTTGATGTATTTACGTCACGGCAATCAGACATTCGCTATGTAATATCGATTACTAGATTGCCACAGCGTGCGGGCGTGCGCTCAGTCTCTAGACTGTAGTATCGCATGCGTGGGAGGGAGTGCGAGGCAGCGAGTAAATGTGTGCTCGCGAACGCGCGTGTGCGTGGGTGGACATTGTAGATTAGAGTTCATCGGTGAATGGACTGCGTTCATGTCAGTGATAGCATTCTACATTCATGACAGCAAATCGCAGTGAATGAAACGGCTGTCTAATCTCTGCTCTCTGGGCGTACATGTACGCACACTGGCAAAATCCTCTTCTTTCTGCACGTGAGCAATCATATATATATATATATTATGTATACATATATATATATATATAATATATATATT